AATCCATTCAAGACCCAATCGTTTATTTTCCTAAAACCAAGGTAAATAACTCTAGGATGTGAGCCAGTAAGCAGCAAAAATACAATGGGGTCATTTATTAAAAGGGAAACCACATGTCTAACATCAGACCTTTCAAATCGATTGCACCCGACGTGAGATTTGCCTGATTTAAATGTGTATATACATGCGCACTACCAATCAGAAAGATGAAGATACTTCGTTTCTGTCTCTAAATATAAATACACCAATATAAAGAAGAGGGAGAAATGAAAGCAGAGAGGAGAAACAAGGAAACGTATCATGGCACTGGGGGGAACTACAACGTACACATTATGGTTCACCAACGCGTGTTTACATTGAATGACGGGGGCTTGAAACCCTTTAACGTCTGCCTACGGACTGCCGACTGCCGCAGGGCTGGAGCCCAGGAATGTGCAAACAAAGGGGGAATCCATGTGGCTACTTACCATAGAAAATCTCCATCCTGCTTTTCAAAAGAATGCAGGAAGGAAAAGCCCCACTGAGCGAGGGCAGTGCCAGGGCCGACGCCAGGGCCGACGCGTGCCAGCGTGTATCACGGCAGCCGTCCCCAGGATGCTCACAATGTTTGGGAGGCAACAGGGCAGGAGGGCAAACGTGCAGTGGGTGGAGAAGCGGTTTCACAGGCAAGAAAGAGATTCAGCCATTCGGGATGCTTTCCTGGGCTTTTGTTTATCTACCTCTGTGATAGTTCTCATTAGCTGTCAATTTCATTTAGCAGGACAGAGATGGAGAACAAGGATTGCTCTTTTTTTCACAAACCCTGGGAGGCAACAGTAGGAAGAAGCCCCACAACAGTCTGCTTTTACCCCGCCGTGGCTATCGGCTACACACCAGCTGCGCGTTCTAACAATGACTTGCCGGAGAGACAATGACTGAAAGAGTCAATCTGTGACACACGGAGAAGCAGGAGCAAGCCAGAGCGGGAGGTAATGGGAGAGAAGAGAGGTCAGAAGAAACAAGTTAGTGCTGGCAGCAAGAGGAGGGAACGGGGAGAAGAGAAAGCACCATATTACAGGGAAAAAAAAAGGGGGGGGGGGTGGAAAGTCCAACCAGACATTCCCAAAGCAGCAGTTGGGAGTCTCCTGCCCTGGGTGGGACACCGGGCCATCACCACCTGATATCCGTACGTCACCAGGACAGACTCAGAAGCAAATGCTGGTAGACCGTACATTGGGCTTAGGATCTAATGGATGGATTCACAAAACTTCAACATGAGGATTAGGAATGGGAAAAGGAGAAGGTGAGACTACTAAATGGGCCTAATGATTCTCTAAGGGAAGGTGTCTTTGCATTTGGTTAAATAAAAAAGGAACACTGAACTTCATGACCATCTCTAAAACGTGGTTTTATTACCTATGACCAAGTTCACACAAATCCATTAAAAAAAGAAAAAAAAAAAAAAAAACAAGGGCATATAGGCTAGGTGGAGGGAAAGAGAAGACCAAAATTTTTTTCAAACAAAAACCTGCATGATTTTTAACAAATCCCCTTCAGATAACAACATACAAGGTTTGTGATGAGCATCTATCAAAAACCGATGTTTGAACGTCCCTGGGCTTAGCTTTGGGAACAGAGGAGGAGAAACAGGTAGTATCTGGACGCAAGCCGTGGAGGATAACCAACCACCAAGAGGTCCAGGGCAAGATAGATGAGTGGCTCCTCTGTATGAATTAAAAAAGGGTGCCCCTTCCCACAGGAGAGCAGCCTGAATTTCACGCTCATTTACCCCTCTGGCCCATGTCCTTGTCCATGAGCAACCTGCTCGACTGCACCCGGCCACTAAGAGGGTGTACTGACCAGTTAGTTAATGCTGTCTCCATACACGCAAAAGTGTGAGAAATAACCCTGGATTTTAAAACTACCTCTATCGTTAAATTTTCGGCTAGACTGCCTGTCCATCACATTACACAACAATCAATTTGCCTAGGATCTAAATGAAGCAAGGGTATGGATTCTTGTTTTCCCCTTGTCTTCTGGTCTCCTCTTGGCCTTCTCAGACCCAATCCCCAAGAAGATCAACCACTAACTTATCTTTTTTTTTTTTTCAGGTTAGAGGAAACATGGATTCAACTTCATGAAAATACATTATGCTCTCATGGCTGGCTCGAAGGCAGTCCTACTGAGTGACTTCAGTAAACCCAGCAAGTCATCACTGGAAACTTGACATGTGTGTCTTCTGAACTGTACAAGAACACCACTGGATTAAGAATCAGAAGACTCGCTGCCCAAACCAACTGTGTTGCTCTGGTCAGTGATCACGAGGGGAAGCCTCTAGGTCTCAGATAGTAATAACCGTAACCACAACAATAGTTAACATGCACTGAGTGCTGACCCTGTCCCTGCTTCATGTGCATTAACACATTTGAACTTTACAGGAACCCTAAGACATACAGTTGTTATCTTCACAAATGCAGAAACTGAGGCTCAGAGAGGCTTAGAGGCCTGTCCAAGGTTACACGACAAGGAAGCGCCAGTAAAACGAGGAGGTGAGATCAGAGGATTATAGAAGTCCATGCCGCTGAAACGTAATCTGTGATTCCAGCCAGGAGAACAGGGAACAGGTGTCGAAACTGCCGACCAGATTTCCCAAGAGGTTATTCCTCTTACAGTAACATGAACATGAGAGAAACGTTCCATTTGCCGTGCTGTATAGAATTCCATGACTCTGCATCCCATTGCCCTCAGCAAACGTGGTCACGGATCTACTTGAAGAGCCTTCCTCCCCCCAGATGGAACCTCTGCTGTGTCATCTCTTCCCTGAACCAGGCGGATGCAGAGGAGTGGCCTGGGAGTGTGCGGTGAAATGAAAATGGAGGCCCCGGGCAGTTCGCATTTTGGACCCAAGCTTAAAAACAAACTGGATGCTTTAAACATTTCCAAGAAACCTGAGAGCTTTCTACTAAAAACTTCCTTTCCCAGGAAGCAGGCTGAGAGAATCCTATCCAGGCCCCCACCCGCAGTGACTTGTTGAGATGGGGCTAATGGGTCATCAGAAGCGTCATCCGCTGACCAACTTAACCCTGCGCATGACAGGACGAAGCAGCAGACGCTGAAGCCAGTGCCCCTGCTGAGCCACCTCCTCCACAATCTACGCTATCATGTGTCCCAAGCGAGCTTGTTTCTTGGGGATGTGTTCTACACCGCATCAAAATCCAAACAGTGAGGAGGAAGCCTCAAAATCCCCATCGGAATGGTAAAACGTATGTATGCAAATCATCAGACTGTGAATTACCCGTGTCAGGAATTTTAAATGAAAAACTACAATATCTTTATATCTCAGAAAAGTTTTCATTGAAGTTATTAAGAAAAGTCCTTTTGATCCAATTTAGAAAGCAGCGCGTTTCTGCTTGACAAATACAGTATTTTACATATGACTGTCCAATGTTTAGGTAAGTGATGCTTCAAAAACCATCTCATAACCAAAAATTGCCTAAGGACTTCTGAAAAATAGAGTATTCATAGCTTTAAAAAATGTTAAAAGCAGATAAATCCAGGTTTTACTATAATCTCTGTGAGGACAAACATATCTTTGAAAGAAAGGTTAACATCAAAATGCCTTCATCAAAATGTGCAAAATTATAGCTGTTATCTAAAATATGGATGAATCTTAGAAACAGAATATTTAGTTAAATAAGTAAATTCTAGAAGACCATTTACAGTACAAATGGGGTAACCACATTTCCTGTTGTGCCAAGAACCTTCCTAGTTTATGCCTATTGTCCTGTAATTATTAATAGCAACCCTTCCTGCCCCCAAAGTATCTCAGCTCGGCTGAAAAATGATACAGTCATTCTAAACATACATATAGAAACATGTAAATACGTTTCTATAAATCTCAAAACTAAAGAAAACTAATGATACATACTCTATGGATTTTTGCAATAAAATTCTTCAAAAAAACCCCAAAAAGAACCATTAAAAAAATATTCAGAGAGTATTTGGGGCAGGGGAGAGGAAGAAGCCTGAAGAGAAGGGAGGAACACACAGGTAGACAACAACAACACTGTGATACTCCAATTCTTAAACTGGACGTGGGTTCATGAGTATTCTTTGATAGTTATGTCTCACGATTAGCATGTTCTCTACATTTATATATATATATATATGTTTATATATAAAACATTCCATCATGAGCTTTTTTTAAGTATAAAAGAAATAAAATGGTAAGAAGGGATAAAACTACCATCCATGCTTTCAAAAGAACAGAGTAAACTATTAGAAAATGTATCAGCAATTTAATATAGTTCTAATAGGTTAGTAAGAGGCACTTTCTGGCAGCCACCTAGACTGTGTTAGCAAAAGTTACAAGGGAAAAAAAATTACATTTAGTTTGCTGATACAAGAAATGGGTGATGTTGACATAAGAAAGCTGGACGCAACAGACAAATAAGCCTACGTACACAATAAAGCAAGCAGAAGATACAGAAGCAGTTAAGACCCCTGACATACGAATGCAAGAGTTAACTGGAACATGAACTCCTCGTATCAAAATCAGAAGGTCCCTTTCTATCAGTAACAAGGACTTGAATGCGTGAGGGCCAAGTAAAACACAGGTGAGTGTAAACACGAAACACGGGCTACACAGTATGTGTCCTGGCATAAATTAAACAGAACCATACAAACTAAGGCCAATCCTTGTGCACAGTCTCACCTTGGTGGCACTTACCAACAGAGCATCTTAATGAACAGAATCATTACAAAATTCGCTAAGAATAAATAATTTTCTAGCATGAGGTGAATGTCCAAGCCAAAAATATCACAGTAATTGGTGATTTTATTGAGTGTTTATATTCATTAGTTGAGTACCTTTAGGAACTGGAACTCTCAAATGCTTTGGTGACAATTCACATCACCAGGTTTTTCAACAGTAAGAAAGCAGCGGCATGCGTGTTGCTCTTGATGAACACCAGGTCTGTCTTGACTACAGAGTAAAATAGTAATTACTGAGAAATTAATACCTGGAATACTTGCAGGAGAGATTGGGCCCGATCGCGACTGGCTGCTGCCCACAGGAGAGCCGACAGGAGAAGGTGACGGGCCCCCAGGGATGCTGGAGAGATGAGGGGATGCATGCGGGGAGAAAGGCGACTGAGCCGGGTTGCTCTGATCCCCCTGGCTGCTCGTGGACCCAGACGCGCTGACTGCTGAGCTCAGAGCTGCCTCCGTTCCCGTGGGGAGGTCATCGATGGAGCCAGACAGGTCCTGAGAAAGAAAGAGAGAAACACCATGTTTATGGAGTAACACACTCGGACCCACACCTGACCAAAAAACGATTTAAAAATCCTAACAATGCCCCTTTCAGAGACAGTTTTTCTTAGATAATTGCCAAAATTCAGAGCGTGGCCACTTGTTATTAGAAGACTTTCAGGAGGTCTCTTCGTGAGTTGAACCCTAAGATCTGTCCCAGCCCCCAAAAGTAAATAAAGTTGTACCTCTCTTTCATAAAGCCATCTGACAGCTTTCCTTTAAGCTGCCAGCACCTAGCCCAACACACATGTTCAAAGAGTCACAGGAAACAGCGCCTGACTTGGTGACTTACCATCTGAATGGAATGGTGGCTTCAATACTGAAAACTACTGTTCTGGATCCTTCTATTTAGAGTCAACATTGAAGGACTGTTTGAATTTCAAACTATAATATTCCAATGGAACAGCAATTATTTGTTTATTTATTTATTTGAGAGAGTGCCCGTGTGTGTGTGTGAGCAGGGGGAGGGGCAGAGGGAGAGAAAGGGAATCTTAAGCAGATTCTGCACTGAGCATGCAGCCCAACGTGGGGCCTGACCTCACAACCCTGAGACGAAATCAGGAGTTGGGCGCTCAACCGACTAAGCCACCCAGGCACCCCACAGAACACCAAAATTTTAACCAAACCTTGTGGTGAGAAACTCTTGCATTCTAAGTAACTGTAAGTGCCATTATAATAAAATAGTGACATATATGTTTCTGAATGATATTGTGAATATAAACCCCTTTGAGGTTATGTTGGCAGAAATGAGTCCTAATGTTATACCTTAGTTTTTTATAACAATTTTAAGCTAAACAAACAATTTTTAGTGCCAACTAATTTGTTCCTAACACCCTCTAAGGCAGTTGTTAAAATCACCATTAGACAGATACAGGAACTGAAGCTCAGCTAGTCAGTGACGGTCGAAGGTGACCCCACTGAGGACAGAACCATCTGCTAAAGGGGACGAAGGGAGGCTGAGGGAGGAGAAAGGAGAAAAACAGGCTTCTGCACCCTTGTCAGATTGAAAGGGGGAGAGACTTTAGTCTGGCCTTCCTCACCGCCGTGGCACCAGGGCCCAGAATGGCGCTCAGTCCCGCTCACCCAGCAGGCGCTCAGTCAGCCAGGGCCGGCCTGTAACCCCAGGTCACAAGAGTCTGCAGACCCAGGCGGGGCGCAGGGCCAGTGCTGACTGAGCTCTCAAAGCTGTGGTGCGGTCTACAATTACTTGTCTTGATGATCTAGGACTAAATGCTACAGAACGGGATCAGAAATGCTAGGTGATGCTACTGTCTACAAAGCATATTCAATTCTAATTTATACCCTCGACTCATTCAACTTTATTAATTTTACCTCACTGCTTACTACAGGGACGTCTAAAACTAGGGCTTGGAAAACTGGTGGAGGTGGATGCTTAGGATCTGAAGAATGAATCTAGACCAGTAAATACAAAAGGGAGCAGGTAAAGCACAGCTGGTTATAGCTCTTCAGGGTCCCCCCAAGTGTCAAAAAGCAAACTCAGGATGAGGATCCCAGTCTCCTGGAAAGTTTATCTGTTAACCATCTGCTATATCATATAATTAACTTCTCTCTTTTTTTTTTAACAGCAAAATTGCCAATGATTAAAAAATACCTTCTTAATAGCTGTGAAAGCCTCACAAAAACGAATGTTACGGAAAAACAAAAATTTCTTATGCTAAGAAGAATAACATCTAAGTAGAGAGTACTCTTCAACGTCATATAACCGTGCTTATGAATAACAAACATAATAGTAACAGCGTAGATTGAACACATCACCATTGAGAAAGTATCATTAAATTTCCAAAATGAAATGGGGCAAACAAAATCGTATTTTCAGAATCCAGAGAAAAAAAATAAACATTTCTATGCAGGGCACACAAGTTGCATGATTTTGCACATATTCAGCTGCTAAAACATTGTATTTGACTTGACTACTGGGTTCAACAACAGTTCGATTCAGACTCTTTGAACCGAACACAGCTTTTGCAAAGCAGGGTCGGAAACACAGGAAGGTTATTAAGCAAGTGATATGCTACATACAATGGAGAAAATACTCACACTTCAGAAATCAAGACAAGTATCTGAGTTTCTAGAAACAACACCGAAGCCAGCAGAGTGCATACGTGCACACACACTGACTTGCTGAAAGAGGAAACAGGGCAAGTTCCATTGGTCCCTCCCTCCCTCCCCAGGCCCACGGCTGACTCCTCACGTGCACAGCCTCAGAGCGAGGATGGGTGCTGGGGTGGGGAAGAGTGGTTGGAGTCCTGGATGGTTCTTTAAGTCCCTCCCTTCCTAACCTGATATAACCAATTCACAGAAGTGCGGAGGGACCCCCGGCGGGGCTCTTCAAAGCACTGCAGCCTCTGGCCGGGGGCTCAAACTGGACCCTGCCTATTTTTGCTTTGCCCACCAGCTGACTGTTTTTAAACGACTGGAAAAAAAAAAAAAAATCAAGAGCAACACTTTGTGATCTACTTGCAAAATACTTGCAATTCAAATTTCAGCGTCTGTAAAGTTTTACTGGAACACTGTCCCCGCCGTTCCTTTATGTGTGGCCCACGGCTGCTACAGAGACCCCGAGGCCCGCAAAGCCTAAAATATTTACCATGGGGCCCTTTCAGGAAAAGTGTGCCAACCCCCGATTCAGAGAGTGGTGGGATTCCTGGTACAGCCTCTACTGTCGCTGCCTCTCCCTTGGGGTAAAGAAGAGGAGACGGGCCTCCGCTGAAGTGCATGGTGACAACTGCCCGGCAGGACCTGTCGGCGCTTCCCCCAGAAGAGGCGCTGACCGCACGACTGCACCCACCCGGGAAACACTGAATGGGAGCCAGAGAGAACCGTGCTCTCTTGGCAGGTATTCGAATCACCCAGGGAGGCCCCCAGTGAGGATGGCTGGTGGGCTCCAGGTGTAGACACACTCCCTTAATACCTCACGAATGTGTATGACTAATAAACAAAGGGTCAATCAGACAAAATCAGTTGGGGCGCGGAGAATAGGATTTGATGCTTCTTTGGAGAAAAAGAAATCAGTAGATAACTAAATATAAAACCATTCTCTTTTACTACACTACATATGGGATATTAAACATAGAAAAGACTTGACACAGATTCGATTTTTTAAAACATCATTATTTGAAGTTAAATAATCTTATGCAAATCTTTCTTCATAAAAAAAAAAACCAAACAAACCCAAATTGTTACTTGGAAATTTGAAAAATTCTCCACATCACCTATAAATTCCTTCCCTGTCCTCCCTTAAAATTCCAAGTTATGGCTGAACAAGTGACACAGATGGGTGTTAAGAAGGCTTCATTCAAGCTGCAAAAGCATGAAAAACATTTCTGTTATTCAACAAGCTGATCGAGGAAATACCAAGAGAAAAATATAAAAACAGTGGCTTTCTTAGTATTCACATGTCATCAGAATTTCAGGGCTGACTAGACCTCAGTGTAACAGAAGAGTAATAAAAAGATATAATTTCTGTATTACTATTATACATACACGTAACTTTTATATGTAAATTATAGAGAAATATTCCCGCCCTGCAGACGCTTAGGGTATCCGTATGTATAGCTATCTTAAAACATGTTAATAAAAGAAGTTCAACAGTGGTTTAAACATTCAGCCTAGTTAACAAAGAAGCTCTGTAACTAATACTCCTCTGGAGGACAATTTAGTCAGCAGGGCACCAACTCTATTCTTCTTTTGTAAGTACTATCAGATCTATGATGTCTGGAAAGAACAGAGAGACCTTACTGCATCTCATTCTAACCAAGACACCTTCAAGCTACAGTGCTTCCATTTATCTTGCTGGGAAGCTGGCAGGTAAGGTAATGGCAGGGAGGACTCTTTGAAGGGGCTGGAGTCCCCCTGCCCCACAGCATTCCCGGCATCTTTCCTTTGTATGGACGGGAGTGACGGGTAAGGCAATGACTTCATGGGCTCCTACACAGTAAATTCAGGATTTTGCCAGGACAGCCTGAGTTGGTAAAATCTTGCTCTCAAGTTGGGTTTTCAGTATCTGACATCACTCAGGATACTGACTACTTTCCAGCACACCAAAAATAAGATAACTTCTACTGTCGATGGTTAATTTATTTTTAGAAAATCAATGCCTTAAAAAAGAAAAGCTTGTTTTGCTTTAAAATTTAAGTGAAAGTTCCCTGCAAAGACTTTCCCTCTGTAAACCATCATCTCTGCACCCTCTGTCCATGTAAAATTTTCATTCTAATCCAAGTGACAAGTACAAGAGATTTCACTGCACTTGGAATGAAATGCCACCAGGGAGCAATAACAATCCTATCAAGACTCTGACAAGAGAAACACTTATGAATTAACACAGAGCACAAATATGTTCCTGATTCAATACAATGGGACAGGGTGGGGAAGGGCGGTGACAGGGCAGTGATGGATATGGGAACATGCCATGAAGGAGGAGCATAGGAAGAATTTTTAGAGATCTACATAAATGCAAAACAGACCTACAACATTATAAATATTCTCTCTCAGGTCTACATATTATCTCTGATCCTCCCTAAAAATACTGTTAGTATATTATGACGTACTACATCAAGAGGCATCTTTGGCTTTGATGGAATTCAATTTATCTAGGAAGGTAGCTGCCTCAAGGATAAATTCCGCCAATCCTAGCGATGTCTTACTGTCTCAAAGACCTGGGAATAAGTCAGAAAATCTTACTCCCTTGTTTAATTAAATAAGTGGGTTTTAAAAAAAGCAAATCAACTCCAAAATCCTCTAAGCTGTGGTCCTCAATACAATTAGTTGATAGCATCAGATCAGCGTCTGATAGAGAACTGGAGAGGAGCGCACACATTTGGGCATCTCTTGCTCGGAAGTGCCCCAAGAGAGCACAAGGATAAACACTGAATTGGAAACAGAGAAGATATTTCAATCAATGAGACTAGTTCAGGTCTCTTGTTTAAGGATTTTAA